TCGGGGCACTGTAGTTTTCAGTTCTAAAATACAATTGTGGCTCTTTAAACAAAACACTGGCAGGAAATTATTTAACGCTTGAATTCCATTTTTGAAATTTTTTTAAACAGTAAGTACAGAGCAGAAACGACTTACTAAATACTTGACTAAGAACCTATGGAACTTTTAAACAGTCTGATGTTGATATGTTGCGATTCTTACAGAATAACATTCTATTATCAGTTAAAAAATTTGTCAATCGACAAGTTTGATTTGACAAATATTCAAGGATTTGAAAAAAAATCCGAAGTAGCCAGTATTGCATTAAAGAGGATTTTCAGCAATTAATTGTTTTGTTTAATATAGTCCAAGACTACACAAAAAAAACACAGAATTTCAAACATTACATAATATTTGGCGATCCAGTCTAAAACTCTCTTTTACCATTTAGATTGGTGGGTCCCAAAGTGGTCCAACCCCCAGGGGTCCACGGGAGACTTGGCGGGGGTCCAGCTTGGCGTGACAAAAAATACGGTTATATGGGATTTATATGGAATATGAAAGAAATGTAACCGCAGGGGGCTCACTGGGACTAGCTAAATTTTGAAAGTGGTCTATGAGAAAACAGTCTGGGAACCACTGATTTAGATGAATTCGTGACTTATTACGAAATTGGGACACAAATTAAAAAGAAAAAAATTAAGCGAACAAAATAATTTTTCTAAATTCTTACTATGACTGTGCACAGAAATTAATAACATCGTTGGTTAGTATAAATGTGAGAAAAATTGACGACCACTAGAAGCTTTGGAAAATCAAGCGGACGCATTATAATTATTACTTATCTAAGCAAAACTACCATTTATGTGTGTTTTAGACTTTAGGTTTTGTTTACAAAGTTTACGATTTCAATTATATAGTTACCGAGGAGCAACCATTTTAGAAGGCGGGGTTATTCGATTGGACCACAAACAAGATATGCTGGATATACAGCGCTACGTCCAGCATTTCATACCCAAAATTATTTTTATTATCCTTCGCCCATGATTCATTCATTAAATTATATGCTGTTATTTCTTTACCACCCTGTTTGTATACCTATCCTATACTTTCTTAACTAAATATTCTAAGAATTAAGGCTGATACAGACGAAACAGTTTTAAATAAAGCATTGATAATTTCGTTATTTTCCTTTGCCGCATTTACTTCAGCAACAGGTGCTTCTCTTTTCTTTCAGAAAAACGAATTTCCACAATTGAATAAGGATAAGATTTTCGATAATTTCCTCTTCGGCATTTTTGCTATATCATCTAAATTTTAAGAGGGCTGGCGATTACTTAGCTTTCTCTAAAGATTATCAGAAAGATGTTCTATGGGGTTTAGGTGACCACTCCGAAATGGGCAGTTTATCTAACATTTGATTTATTCTCGACATCTTCACTCGTCTCAATCCTCATGATTTTTTGCAAAAAAACATACTGTGACATAGCTGTGTCCTTGGACCATGAAGTCTGTTTCTTACGGTCACGATTTATATTAGTTTTCCTTACCAGTGAAATAAATGCTAGCAATGTTGCTTTGCAGGCAGGATTTCGGAGTGCTGACTTTACCAAATGGTATTCCCCAAGTATTGTTCCACTTCTTCAGACAAAGTTGTTGCTGTCAGCCATTCATCTGGCCAAAATCGTGACTTTTCAAAAATATTCCTTCCCAAAGCATCAAAATTATTCATTCATATTCGTATTGTGAGATAAATCTAGTATAATGCAATGAACAACGCAACAAGGCGCTGGAATATGATCAATATTTTCTATAAAAACATACTTTTACACTTTTACAAAAAATGTATTCACTTCATAGATTTGACTGAAAGTATTTTTCTCAATTTCCTTATAATGGGTGTTTTTTTTGGCCATCATCGTTTTTGAAGAAGTACGGACCAATGATTCCACCAGCCCCTAAAGCGCACCAAACAGTCAGTTTTTCTGGATGTAACGGTGTTTCGACATACAGTTTTGTTTGTTGACGTAGCCATTCAACCAGCAGTGCGCATAATCGCTAAACAAAATTCGCTTTTGAAAATCGGGAACAACAGCAATCTCGTTTTGGGCCCATTCGACGAATCTACGCCTTACTTGATGATGGTTTGGCTTCAATTCTTGCACGAGTTGGATTTTGTAAGCACGTAAACCAAGATCCTTTCGCAAAATCTTCCATAAAGTAGATGGACACACATCCAATTTCTGTGCTCGTTGGCGGATGACTAATTCGGTTCTTCCTCAATGCTACGCTCTACATCAGCAATAGCTTCTTCTGTACGCACCGTACGGCGTCTCTGGGGATGCGAGTTATCAATAAGAGTAAACGTGGTGCCAAAAAGTGCCATGGTTGTTCAGGCGTTAGTCTATTCATGATGAATTGCCAAACCAAACTGAGAATAAATCACTTGACAGCTGTTAAATCGGTCGCCATCCGGAACAGTAATGCCAACTTAAAGTTCTATACATCGAAAAAATACACCCTATAGTTCAAAACACTCCACTGTGTGAATGTTCTTTTTTACATTTTTTAATCTATCTATTTTAATTAGAGTAGTAAGACACACCAATGGATGGTATATGATCTTCCTTTAGAATCCACATGGTGTCAGTTCGGAATTTCGGTTTATACAAATAGACTATAATTAGAGACTTGGCGTGGTAACCTCTTACGCACTTAAATACACTTATAGAGCATTTGAATAGAATATTTATCGTTAATTAACCATGTTAAACAGAATTTCCTAATTAGCAATAAGAAAAATAAGATAATCTGTGTGACAATATAACTTATAAATAGAACATGCAATGCGGTTACACTGTGTAAACATGATGCGTCGAATAGTAAGCGAAACGGAAGTAGATAAACGCAACGTATTTATCGTTTATACGGGCTGCAAAAAAATAAACAAGAGATAAAAGTTATACGGCCACCTTCTTGATAAATTCGGTAAACACATAAAAGTAGTCATTAAATTTTTACGGGGCCCCAATTTCCTTCGTGGGAAAGATGCGGTTTTTTTCGGCGCGCTACTTACGGCATCTGGTGGAGTTTTGCTTAATTTCAAGTCAAAACAGGCACCAGGAATGACTTAAAATAAGTAATTGTACAGGGGTACAAAATTACTCCTAATGTCAACAGATGATGACAAACCAGAACCGAATCATGAGCTAGATCAAGACGATTTGGCAACACCGTGAACTTAAAATAAAGCAATGTACTGGATGTCTGTACAGAATTATTCTTAATGCCAAAATAAGGCAATAAGACTTGACCGTAAGAGGGCGCTTCACTACACTTCTGGTTTCAAATTACCGTAACTTTTTTGTCAATATAATTTTATTAATAATAACAAATAATTTTCTGAACATTGTTAACCAAAAACGTAATCCTGATTAAACAATAAAAATAATATTGAATAAAAATTTTTGGCAGTAGAAAATGTTTAATTTGCATGAAATGTTGTAGTCCAAATTTGGAAATGGATTTTATTTAATTCAAAGAGGTACAATTTATTTTAAAAAATAATTATAAAAAAACAGTGAAAAGCTGTTCGGTGGTCTAAAAATGATCACCGGGTGAAAATCTAAAAGCTACATATTTTAAAATTGTGGAACTTCCAGCTATATAAAAAACAAATAGGGAAGCTAATGCACAGTCGCGCCTGTGGATGTATACCTACGAATATAGATATAATATTAGAAATGATTGTATCTCTGCATGATTGCAGAAGTAGTCAAACGATGAGTTAATTTTTTTAGAATATAGTAAAAATCCAACTCAGTCATTTCAGAGTATATTTTGCTTCCTTTAAATATTAAAATCCAGATGCAGAGAAATCGCGTGATTACTGAAACCGTTTTAATAAGATAAGCACGTGTGTGATAATCCAGCCTTATCTTGTTATACTGCGACTCAGTAAGTATTAGTGAACCGTGTTGTTGATATTTATATTCTTCCGTAAATAACTGATAACAATACTACATAAATTCTACTCTTGAAGTATTTGAGGCCTTGACGTATTAATATCGGTTCTTCCCAATGAAGTTTAGTTAGTTTTTCGTGATATTAAAAAAAAATTTGGTCTAAGTAGGTATTTAAGAAAAAAATATCTGATGTAAATAAAACATTTTTTTTTGTTTTTTGCCTATAGTTATATATATAGTATATAGCAAATATTATGAACTATTTATTTTATTGGTGTTTTTACAAATAATGGCAACATGGCTTTGTATCCTATTTTTATTGGTATTATTAAAAACCACCTAAAAAAATGTAAAACAAATGTAATTTAATAGTTGTATCTTTATTTTTTTAACTGTGTATAAATATTGACATTCAGTGCTTTATTAAAAAGTCTAACGAAACAATAAGCAGAGCGACATTTCAAATTTGTTGTGCGGTCTTAGTCGTACTATTTTGACGAAATTTTCATAACTTCGTTTTTAGTTTCAGTTTTTCAAAAAAAAATCCTTCCGTTTTTTAAAATTTGACCATAGCACTGCATTCATAATTTTGTTTAAATCAAATCAAAACAATTGCGATAATGCCCCACTTCGTATTGCTGCGTTGCCAGTTTGTCTTCAATTTACGTAAAAATATCTTTAAATAGCTCATTTTCAATATTATTGTAGTTCTAATATTTTTCGAAATATACACATTTTATCAGTATAGTCGAATTTGAAAAAAAGCCTAACATATATCATATTTTTTCTTTTTTTTTTAGGAAAATTAAAGAATTGAGAAATTATGAAGACTTTGGACAGAATGCAGTTTTAATGTTTCCTATAATAAAAAAAAAACAAATTTTAAGATCACCTGAAAAATACTCATTTTACATGGAGCAATGCAAATACGGTGGGCATATTTAAGGGATAGATACTCCTAATAGGCCCGCCCAAAGGCAGCTTTTGTTGTCAAGTACATTTGTGTCATGCAAGTGAGCAAGCAGCGTCGAGATGCAGCTACTTAAAAGAACTTACGCAGAATCTTATTGGTCGAAAGTTCGGAACTCAAAAGTCAACTAACGACACTCTCTACCGGTCCAGTTAACCTTGATCGCACAACAACAGCACGCAGCCGAAAAAAGAGTTAAACGTCTGACATCTATATTTACAAGTCAAGGACAACGGCCCGTGAGGGTCAGTTGCGGCACTAAAAGAGTCTTTGGGTGTTGGCGGCAATGCGTTTTGTTATTCCCAACGAGAGCTTGGTTTGCCAACACGCGGGAAAGCGTCGAAAAACATTGCTGCGCACGTACAATCCAAACCAGCGTCTGTAATCAACTGACGTCTCGATTCACGCCGATCGCAGAAATCGCGACTGATCGTGCCTCGTCGGAGGTTTACGCTGATCACCTGGTGCAACGTTTAACCGAGCGGCGTCGAGCGCCAAGGTTCCAACGCCAACTCTTGGAAAGCCGAGGAATTTATCGGGTCAAAGAGAGGCGGGTACGTATACAGAGCGTTTGCGCGTTCGCGTTGCCAGTAAAATGCCGATGCCGCATCGGATATATGGAGAGGCAGGGCCTCGATAAAGACAGGTGACAAATCAGTGGGGTTTGATTGGGTCTTGGAGAAGGTATCGGGTCTGCCTTCGTCGTGGTCACCTGGAGATCGGTCGTTTCCTGGTCATCGTGGTCGTCGCCGACTAATTACGCTCGTTGGGGGATTCGGAAGATAGGACGTAAATGATGAATCTGACCCGCCGAGATGCATCCATCACTTAGTAGATTTGATTTGATGCGTTATTTGTGAAAGTAAAGCCGAGCCAACGTCCGGATCTATATTTTGGTCCCAAGTTATCGCATATCTCAGATGAATAATAATCGGTGTCCGAGATATGTGCCGATACGTCTCTCGGTGGTGTTCGATCATTCATCGGTTGTCGTTACCTTGCTAATGGGGCCTTCAGTCATCGAAATATTCCAAGCAATGTTTATTTTGAAAAGCCAGCGGTAAACTTAAAATTGTGCAAAGTTTACAACATAAGTTGCACACTTGATTGCGAATTTAATATTAGATCTCGGCTCAACACCATTTATTTTTATGGAAATGTTGAGGGTTTTATGTGGAAAGAAAAAAGGGCAAGTGTTACAGCTTGCTTGAAAGATGAAAAATTCAACAAAACAAATCGGGTTTTGCATGAAAACAACATAACTTGTTCCTTTGTGACCGAGCCCACGTGCAGCACCACATAACTCCTGAGACCATGAATTTCTATTTATTTATTTTTTTCTGTGAAAAAAATCATAATCGGCCCTACACACCGAATTACTACTGCCACACTTGCAGAAAAAATCATCTGTATTTTCACCTGTAGCTTTGCTGATGATTTTTGATCTGCATAGACTTAGAGCTTTGATTCCATAAAGGTTCGCATCTCTCCTAGAGAACCTAATAATAATATAACCTAGGTTCCAATTTGTTCACAGATGCATGAAGTTGTTATAATCTTAGATTTTGAGGCATTTAGTATAAAATATGCAAATTAATTTGTTTAAATAATTAAACAAAAACCATATAGTTATATCAGGTGTATAATTTATACTCAGCTTGTAAATTTAACAGGACTCTGGGAAGATATTTGGATATTTATGACGGTCATCATTAAATAAACTTTTTTTTTACTTTTAGAAATAATTTTAAACTGCTAAATGGAGACCATGTATCGGTGCCCATGAAAGGCCTTACTCTCACAAACCAAAATCAATCAATTTCAGAGTCGGCATTTACCTCATACACAAAAATAAGGCAAATAAGCTGGGATACTGAACGGTTACCAAATACACGTCTGTCCGTACTGTGTAGGTACATTGAAATTCTCCTTTAGAAAAAACTTTTCCGAAATTCTGCAAATATCTTTGAATATTCCCGAAACACCCTGAACTTCCTCGAGATACCCCAAAATATCTCGACATTCTCCGAACTTCTTCTGAACTTACCCAAAACAGTCTGCACTTCCACGCAAGTCCCACCAAATAAATACTCAAAAATATTCTAAAAAACCTTGAATCTCCCTATTTGCCTATCGGGTTTCCCACTCAAAACTATTCCATGTTTTTGGGAAAAATCACCATTTGGGACACGAGTCGTTATTGCTAGTGAAATATTCTGACATACATTACGATTCAAAATCGGCGGAAAATATCGAATGCCATATAATTATTTACGCTACAGCGGATTCATTTGCATAATACAACCAACGTAATATATCTCGACGTCTTGGCCCCTTGGCTACTACGATCCTATAGTTAAACCCCATGAATCGTGCTTCAAAGTGCTTATTAACAATTTTATCCACTTCCACGAATCGCATCGCAAGCGGCTCTAGGTATAACGTTTGCTCGGTAATCTATCACCGTTATCTTTAAAGTCGATATCGAAATCTTTATTTAATTTTTAACCTTGCGCCCCTTCTTTGCAATTAAAATTTCTAAACGTTAGACCAAACTTATTACTCAAGTGAAATATACAGAAATGTTCCTTAGAAGTTGAGATCAAAAATTAGTTTTTGAAATTAATTTATTTTTTATTAATTAATAAAGGCCGAAAAATTATGATAGAGATTGAACTTTGCAATGGAGTAGATTTACTTAGTACAATGATAACAAAGTCTCACTTTTCGTAAATCTATAGACGCTTTGCTTCAGCCTCTTATATATTATTGTCGATCGAAACATTGGGCAATTTGGAGTTTACATAAATACAAGGGTGGGGAGAAAAATTTCCGTCCAGATCAAGAAGAACGATGTTTTTATTTTTTTTTGCTTTATTTTTCAACACCATCTCCATCAACACTGATTTGTCATAATGGTGTTCTAATTTGGTTATTAAACGTGGATTCATCAAGTTCCACAAAGTACTGATCTACAGCGTCGATAACTTCTTCGTTGGTCTTAAATCTTTTACTGCCAAGCCATTTTTTGAAGAGAGTAGAGAACTTCAATTGGTTGATTCTGGACATTGCAACAATCGACGAATACGCTATTATGTTATCGTGATCAAACAGAATTTGTTTCTTAGTCAAACGAGGTCGTTTAATTTGCACCTCGTGCTTCAAACGTTACAATAACTCTACGTAGTATTCACCAGTGATAGTTTTACCTTTTACAAGGTAATCAATGTATATAATTTCTCACGCATCCCAAAAATGGTAGCCATAACCTTGTTTCCGGATAAAATTGTTTTAGCCTTCCTCGGAGTTGGTTCCCTTTTTGAAACCCATTGTTTTGACTGTTCCTTATTTTCAGGTGTGTAGTGATGGACCCAAATCTCATCAACAGTTATGAATCAACGTAAAAATTCATTTAGATTAATTGTCGGTAGAAATGTTTTCTCGAATCAGTTTTTGGTCGAGCACACAGCTTTTCTATACTCGAATAGTTGTGCAAAACGTTTCGCACACTTTCAGCTGATATCCTACAAATCTCAGTCGCTTCATGCACTTTCAATCTGCGGTCTTCCAACACTATTTGATAGATGGATTTTCTCAATCATTTTTGAAGTTATGACCTGAGCGAGACTCGTCAGAGGTACTCACACGACAATAAGATTACTTAATTCACTTTTTGAAATAAAACATTACTAACCATTTCTACTCGGCACTTGACTTATTATGGGACACAAGTTGTAGTGGTAGACCAGCACATTGGTGCACTCTAAACTTTGCAGATCAAACGCGAGCTGCTGCTTCCATATAGGAACTTTTACCATAAGGACGCGCGATTTTTAAGAACGGTACAGAATAATAATGAAAAACTCGCAAATTGGATGGAAAAGGGATGAATAAAAGGAACTTTTTAGAAATATTGGTTTAATATTTGCCCAACATTTGTTTCAAAAGTAATTAGTTACATAAACAAGAGCATTGTCCTTCAAGCATTTAGACAACAGGGAAGCAGTATTAACCTCAAAAACTGACAAATTTTAATCCGTTTATCCTGCTATGAAACCTAAATATTCGAAGTTAATACGTACAACTTTACCTATATCTAAATTGGCAAGCGAAATTTTCTGTGATATATCTTCTTTTTCTTCAAGTGTCGTGTCCTCCCAGAGCAATTGCGATCAGTCGCATGATCTTCACTTTGTCCGCAGGAGATTTAAACAATGTGGTGGTGCTTACTCCATATCACTGACGAAGATTTTTAAGCCAAGACGTTCTTCGGCGACCAGGAACTTGTTTTCCCTCTATTTTTCCTTGCATGATGATATGGAGCAATTCATATTTTTTATTTCTCATTACATGGGCAAAATACACCCGCTTTCTTCTTTTAATGGTATTAAGTACCTCTTTCGTTGTTCATGTGTTGCAGAATCGCTTGATTCGCCACTCTGTCTTCAGTGTATCTTCAACATTCTCCGGTGAGCTCGCATTTCGAAAGCCTCAATCCTCTTACACATTGTTTCAGTGAGGGTCCATGTTTCCATACAGTATGCTAAAGACATAGCAACGTAATTACCGTATTCTTAAGGGAATTCTTAAGGCTCAGATGGTTGACACATTTTGCATGTTCTTAAAAGAAGTCTTTAGTTGCTCTATTCTGTTTTTGATTTCTTGAGTTGAGTCCCAGTTTTCATTCACCCAGCACCCCAAAGACTTGTATGATTGTACTCTCTCCATTATTTCTTTATTTACGCTGATATCTGTTAAGTTATTAGTTATATTTTTGTTTTTTGCTGATGCCTATCCATTTGGTTTTCTTTACATTTAAATGTAGACTCATTTGTTTGTTATGGTGTGTTACCGCTTATAGAAGTTGTTGTGCTGTTGCTAGTAAAACCCTGACTCCTTGACGTCAGCGTTCTTTCTTCGACGGCTTCCCTGAAGATTTTTTCTGCATATAAAGTCAACAAGAGGGAGAGCTCACACATCCTTGTCGAACTCCTCTCATAATAGGCACTTCTGATGGTTAAGTCTTATGTGAGCTTTTGATAAATACTAAAATAATTCTTAATTCTTAATATTAGCTCTTGTAATGTGAATACACAAGTGATTATATTGTCTCAAATTTTCGGGTTTTTACCTCTTGATTTTTTTACAATACCTTAACATTCGCTCAGCTCGGACAGATCATTTCCAAATAACGAAATGGTATCAGATGTCCTGCTAAGGAATTTTGCCCCACACAAATGGTTTGGTTATCTAAATATCCAGTTTTCAAGGGGCTAAAATATTAACCTTAAATATTCTATTAGAATGTTTATTCAATTTAACTGTTCACCTTTGGGGCGCAATGAAAGGACTCTATTCGTCTCATGGAATATAATTTCGTTTTATTGTAAACCTACACCCCATTAGGACGTTAGATTTTTACTTATTTCCTATCCACCTCGTACCCAGAGCTTGCAATTTCGCTGTAAATGAAATTCCGCGAACTCCGGGAAA